AAACCAACCCAAAAAGCAGAACTTTTGATCAATCGAGCAAGTTCATAAAACACGCAATATATTATTTTAATATTTTGTTATGCAATATTTTTCCTGCGCAAAAATCCAATTGACATTTGATACGGCTTCCCACAAGATCTCTTTGATATCATCGTCTTCAACCCTACCTCTTGCAATGAAGATCACACGTTCTATCTCAACAGAGTTCACGGAAAACCAGCTATCTCCGAGTTCGATTGGCCTTTCCAATCATCTCTAGTTTATTTTGTCACCATGAATGGTGAGGTCATTTAGTACCGCCTCTTCGAAAAGCTAGAAGAGACATATCCTGTGATGAGGAATCAGATTAAGGCCTCGTTGAAAGCAGACATTATGACTAGTTTCGGCCTCCTATAACTATATATAACTTCACCGAGCCTCAAGTTATATCGCCTTTACTGGCCAACGTTGCTTTGCACGGAATGGAGACCGCTTTGAATCACTGGGCTCAGCAACGGATCTAACACATCAATACCTTTAGGAGGCCAAATAGTTCCAATTTCTACGGTAGGCGCCAGACTTGAATGAAAGAAAGCCCAAAAAAAAGCAGAAAATTGTGAATGAAAGAAAGTCCAAAAAAAAAGCAGAAATTTTGGGAACGCCTTCCAACTTTTTTGTCCAAGTACACTGCGATTTAAAAAAAAAAAAAAAAAAAAAAAAGAACAGGGATTTTTGAAAGGAGACTTGCACCTATTCTCGATTAATCAAATCCTATTTGGCGTCATCGAAATGCACGTGGGTCACATCAATACCTTTTGGAGGCCAAATAGATCTACGGTAGGCGCCAGACTTGAATGAAAGAAAGCCCAAAAAAGAGCAGAAAATTGTGAATGAAAGAAAGCCCCAAAAAAAGCAGAAAATTCGGGAAAGCCTTCAACTTTTTTGTCCAAGTACACTGCAAGAAAAAAAAGAACAGGGATTTTTGAAAGGAGACTTACACCTATTCTGGATTAATCAAATCCCATTTGGCGTCGCCAAAATGCGCATGGGTCAAAGCCCAAAAAAAAGCAGAAAATTTGGGAACGCCTTCAACTTTTTTGTCCAAGTACACTGCGAGAACAGGGATTTTTGAAAGGAGACTTACACCTATTCTGGATTAATTAAAACCTATTTGACATCGCCAAAATGCACGTGGGTCAAACCACGCTTCGGGTGAAAACAGTCCAGAAATTCCGGCTGGAATATGCTGTCCAGCAGCACCACGGTGAGGGCTTTTCTGTGTATGATGGAAAATATTTTGTTGGTTTACACAACTTTACAGATTACTGATGCTATTTAACTGATAGAAATTTCAATACCACTTGTTTATTATCCTGCAGGAGGAGGAGGAGGTGCTGTTTTATTTGAACATCTGTTTTGGCTCTTTGGTCACAGGAGACTGGTTCTCAAAATTGAGTCAGCAAAATTGTATAGTTCCGATCCAGCAAATTTGTATTGTTCATAAATTTCATGCTCCCTTCTCACCCAGGATTACTTTTTTTTTTTTTTTGGCACTGGATCTCTGAGATGAAATTATTGAATCTTAAATTCTTGGACCAGATTGAAATTCAATGAATTGATATTGCTATCAAAACAAAAACTCAGAGAATGATATCTTATTTATTTAAATTCAAAAAATGACCCTGGTAGTCCATGCTGACATGGGTCATTTTATTCAAAGACACCATTTCGGATTTGAAGCTGCCATCACACACACTCAAGGCCAACGAACGAAGTGGGCACTCCAACTCCCAAACTGCTTGCTGGAGGCAGCACCCACATTTGTACACTCGAGCAGACGCTTCGCGTCTGATCAATATTGCCAGAGAGTGGAGCCAAAGGCGCAACGGGAAGCAGAGGCCTCTCTTATTTGACATTTAAGGCCGAAGTATGATTCATATATGAGAATTGACTCAACTCATTCTCGATGAGCTTCCATCTACCACGCGCGGGTACACGCCGTCTTCAGTCCCTTATTCTCCCCTCTCCACTTCTCCTATCTCAGGCCTTCTTCCCTCTTCCATCTTCTCTATCCTCTCACGCACGATCCCTCCTTCTCCCTTACATACACATCTCCCAATCCCGCCTCCCTCCATGCTCCCACAACCGTCTTCTTCGTCTCCTCTTCTTCCTCCTCCCTCCTCCCTCCTTTCTCCATCTCATGCGCCTGGACACACTCCCGCTTCCCTCCCCCTCTCATCCCTCCGTTCGCCTCATTCTCTTCCCCTACTGTAACACACACACACACACACACACACACACACACACACACACACACACACACACACACACACACACCCCTCCCCTTCCCACCTTCCTCCGTGTCTTATTCTCAAACAAGTGTCTACCGCTTCCCCCTTCTCTCCCCAAACAACCCCTTTCACCTTCCAATGCGTCTTCCATTCCGTCGCGTGCATCTCATCGTCGCACTCCCATCCTCTTACCTCTCTCGTATCCTCGTCCACCTTGCTCCTCCATCCCCCTCATACAGCACTCTCCCAATTCCCACCCCTCTACCCTTCTCTCACACTTTGCAATCTTCTCTCTTACCTGTTCCCCTCTCACAATCCTCTCCCCCTTTTAAGCACCGTCCAATGCACCAGTGGTAAGCAGCCAATCGCCATCTACCTCTCCCCTTCATTTTACCCCCAGTATGCCTCCATCATTGTCATTAAGGCGACGGGGTGATACTGGCGCGCAGAGAAATGGTATGTGAGATTTTGAGAACGCTCTCATTGAACGACGGTGGGAAGAGCTGATGTAAGAAGCGATAACGAGAAAAGCGGAAAGCATGAGAGATACACAGAGGGAGAAAGACAGAGGAAAATGAAAAAGGCAAGGAGAGAGGGCGAGAAACGAGAGGAGGAAGAATTGAGGAGACAGAGAGACAAGGAGCACGAGGAAGATGGCTGCGGGGGAGAGAACGTGAGTAAGAGAAGGAGATCAATAACTTCCTTGGGAGTTATTGCTTGTAGTAGACCAATGATTGACAACTACCGTCTTCACCCGAATAGAACGCCCGGTCATTATAGCTGTATTCATGCAAATTTCACTCTGGTTACAGCCATAATGACAGGGCGTTCTCTTGGGGTGAAGATGGTAGGGGACAGGAGAGAAAGACAGCCGAAGAGAGAGACAAACCAGTACAACAAAGGGATCGAGGGGGCGGACAAACTACCATAAAAACACAACAAAAAATCAGGAGGTAATCAAAATGAGGAGGTAATCAGTCTGCACATGGGAACTTGCACAGACAGGCCACGAGGAAATAGGCCGGCAAAGACATCAAGACAAAACACAGAACAGGACAAAACACAGAACAGGACAAAAAACACAAGGTGCGTTTCGGGGAAAGAGAAGTAGACAAGTCAAAGAAGAGAGAGGCAGAGATAAGCAGGCCGAAATGGGGAAAACCTCGGGGGAGTTTTTTTTTTTTTTTTTTTGGGGGGGGCGCGAGCCAGTCAATTGAAAGAAAGATAAAGAACGAGAAAGAGGAAAGAAAGGAAAATAAAGAGAG